GAAAGTATTTTACACCAATTTGTACCACAAAAGAGAACAACTTTACACCACCAAAGCTTTTCACCCATCTTTACAGTTGCATTTCTAAAATACTTGTGAAATACATTTTCAGCCTCTCAACTGGAGAGAAAATACTAAGAAAAAATAATCTCGCATATTAGAGAAGTGTAACATAAGCTGGTGGCATTATTTAGCCAAAGTTACTATTCCCACTTGTGTGGCGACATTTGAATGCCAACATAAAGGTTGCGTTCCTTAACAAATCAAATAAAAATTTTGTTTTAGAAGCACACAAAACAAACAATTTTACTAAATTATGATGTAGAGCATTAGTTTTTTTCACTGCACTGTCTATTATTTATGACTAGTTTCTTTTTTCTTTTTTAAATGTTCACTTAAAGGATCAGTAAACACAAAAACGATGTTGTTTTCTTCTTCTATGAGCAAATAAAAAAAAAAAAAAAAAAAAACCTTGGCTCACTTGCAGAGTGGCTGAATCACTCCCTTGTTCAATCTTACCAAGGCTGACGTTTCAAGGAAATGGCGGCAGCGTCATTCTTGCTACCTGTTTCCGGCTGTGAAGGACATCATCCTATTAGAAAACAGAGATGGATGAGGAACGCAGATGGACCGAAGCATTGAATCAGGACTATTCACAAAGTCACTTAATAGCACTGCATAAAATTGCATAACGGAGTAACTGAGACATTTTGCGCACATTGTCCCCACATTGCAGCTAATAACTTTTTGAAACTGATGATCTGGAAGGAAGTGAGTGCCATCGCTTTACCAGACAGCATAAGTGCGGCCATAATTGGAAAACAGAAAACGACAACTGCGTTTCATGATAACTTTCACACATGTCAGATTCTGCCCACACTGCAGATTACAATACATCGCCTGAATAAAGAGTTAATGACATGATTCTAGCCTCAACAATTTACCATTATGCTCCCTGTCAAAAGCCGTACACTGGTCCAGATGTACTGCTTTATGTGTGAGGTGTCTCTTATTACACCCATAACAACCTCAAACAGGCTGTGGCTCTGGGATAGCAATGCCTTGCCAGGCTGTGGCAAGGCTCCCCCATTGTTCCAGGGGATGTTTATAGCTTTGTACCTGATATATGATAACCAATAAGTAAGAGGTAGTAATTACAAGACCCACATGCCACCAGATCGGCTGATGAATGCATGAAATAAAAGATGGGGGGTTATTTGTAGAGGCTACTTATTACATAGGCTTGACATGCGGCCGTATCATGAGGAGAAGAGTGAGAGCAGGGGGAGGAATAAATAACATATATCCATTCCTTCCACTCAATGGCAAAGTAAATAACAATGACCTTCTCAAAACAAATCAGCTGCAGGCCTAAAAAATATGTAAATACTCCATTATCCATGTTCTTACCCCTTCAACCATTTTCTGTGCAGGTCAAGAAGAAATAACACAATTAGGTGAAATAAAAACATGCCAAAAAAGCACAATGGTGTCTTACTGTGGAGCCCAGGACACACAGGAGCACTGTGGTCAGACCCTGTGGCTCCTCAGCAAATCAAGGAAACACTGCTATTTATTCCTTATTGATGTCGCTCCAGGAACAAAATCTACAGCATGACACATTTAACATTACAACTGTTCATTTAAAAATATAACCTTTGAACACTGCCTATGGTGTTGTTATTTAGCAGCCTGGTGACAAACCAGTTCCTGGTTTTACACTTTGTTTTATGAGTTTCGGCTATTGAGATTTTGTTCAGTTTTACCCAATCGCTGAGGTCTGGCCATGACATTTGTCACGCGGCAGTTCGATGCTAATTCAGGTTACCAGTTATCGCCTGCACTGTAAACAACCATCCTCCACTGTGAAGGGAGAAACGCTGAGCTGAACGAAGTGGCTATTAATACTAATTCAATATTTGGAAGCGTGGCCAACACGGACTGAACGCCTTTGTTCACTCCATCTGCTGCCATTGCTGAAACTACAGGAAGGCGGTAATTCTAAGACAACGCAGAAAAACAAAGTCGTTGTTCAAAACTTCTCGGTTGGGAGCTTTTTTTGGTATTCAGTAAGTCAATATTTCTACACGACTGAAACAAAGTCACAGTAGAATAGGTGTTCACTGCTGCAGGCCTTCACACACATCTGTGCATTTCATTCCAATCAATGTACAAAACAACAATCCTATTTATGTCATGTGCATACACATCGCCTATTAGTTCTGTTTTCACCTGGTTTCAAAAAAGTCAGGATGTTTCCATAAGCCAGGTTTCAAAAGTGTCCGCATTCAGTTTCATGCATCCTAAATAAAGCCTGACAGGATACATCGTTGATTAGTTCCTATTTCAAACAAATTCTAATGAAATTGCTCTCAGATTGCATACATTCTCAACAAATGCAAAATACTAAATGTAGAACCATGTGTGTCTTGTGATTATGCCTATGAGTGGAAGGGGAATTAACACCGATTCAGCCTCTTGTCTGTCTTGATAGCAGTCTTTTGGGGAACATCTAATAGGAACATACAGAATGAAGGTTACAGAAAATGGAAGGATCTGACAATGAAGAAAATAAACTGACTGTGTATAACTGCTGGGGAGGTCACAAAAGCATCTTTAGCATTAAGTCTGACTGTAGCCAGTTAATGTCTGGTTCTTTGCTTGCTAAGTTAGGTGTGTCTCCATTGCCGTTTGTTCCCGATTGTGGCAATAAATATGGGCAGGAACGTGGATTGACCATTGACCCCCCAAAGATGCCATTTGCAGTTTACACATGCCAACGGAGGACATCATAGTTCTTGTTTTGATGAGTTATAACATAAATTGCATTGTATTTGAATCCAGGCGGCTTCAGCGACTCCATACACAGAGAAGGACTGCAGCGACAGAGCATTGTGCAGAGTCAGACAGATAGCATCTCACAGTTCATTTCTTTGTGAAGCTAGGACTGTTTGAACTTTAATTATAATTTTCAGGAACTTCATCACTAAGTGAAGCATGTTAAATAGATTAATTACACTTTATTTCTGTTAATTGTGAGGATTTTTTTACTTACAAATGTGACGTTTAAAAATAGAATATAACACACTATTGACAAAACCTATTTAAAACAGAAATGTGAGCTTAATGAAAAGTATGTTTAATACCTGCTTGAAGGTTATTTTCAAAGGGCATTTTTAAGCAAGTCTCATCTGAACACATTTTCTAATTTATTGAATATGTCTGCATGTTCCAACAGCCTCCACAGTCACCAGATCTCACTCCAACTGTGTTGCTTGCACTTCCTCGGATATAAAAGACATAGTTCAACAGTCTTGTATAAAAAGCCCATTGTCTCACAATTTTTTTATTTAGCATATAAAAGACCCTTATTCCCTCAGCATGCTGTCAACATTAACATCTTAATGTAACAAACAGACAGGTGCAAAACCACCTTCAGCAGGCAGACTTTTAGCGCCGGGCTGATAGAGACAGCATGCAGTTGACAAGCAATTCAGTCCTGCAGAGCGAGAGGCCAAAATCCTCGAGTTCCCCTCCCTGTTTCAAAAAAGATCAAATGCTCCGTGCAACAGCTGTGGAGCTACAGGCTCTTCCTATTCAGCCGCCACTAGATGGAAACAATAGCCTCCTCCAGCACAGTCTGCGTTGCATCCATTATTGCTTTCTGCACAAGGTTGCGTCTCTTCATTAAAACATCCTGGTCCAGGCTAGATGTTTGCCTGCGTCTGTGTGTTTGATTTCAGGCTCTCTGTTCGCCTTAAAGCGCTCTCTCCCCCTCCAACTTTGAGTCTTTCACGCAAAATAAGACGGCGAGATTTCTGCCAGCTGCAAGACAGCTCTGGTTTTAGAGCATCTGACCTGTGAGGCTCAATAAAGTTTCACATTTTGTTTCCTGAAAACATTAGCAGAACTCGTAATTTGGAGTCAGCGACAGTAAGACGTCCCTGGGGCTATCGTTTTACAGGTGGAATGAGCTGTTCCCTATAACCACAGCGGAGAAAAATAAACTCGGAACTGAAGGCAGCAGAGGCAGGTAGTGACAGGCTTCTCATAAGTAATGGATAGATTTTACTTCATCTTCTTTAATATCCTCATATAATAAAGACAAGGAATCCTTGTAGCAACATCCAGTGGATTTTTATTAAAGTGACCTAATGCATGGATTTTTTTTGTGGCTTTTTTAATCAGAAGCTGCCTCTGTCCCAGATCATTTCAAAAACTTTACTTTGCAAGAGTTTTTCCATTTTATGTCATTATTACGACAGAGGACAGGGTTTAACTCTTAACTGACGTATTAAAAACTTCATTCATTTTCGTTAGTTATTTATATTAGGACTGCATGGTGGGGAGTGGTTTTCACTGCTGCTTTGAAGCAAGAAAGTTGTGGGTTTAAATCCCAACCTGGGGTCTTTGTGCATGCTTTTATTTAGCAATTATGTTCTACAAACAACTGGCTTTTCTAAATTGTTCCTTGGTGTGTGTGTGTACAAACCACCATGCACACACACACGCACACCTACCAATTCACCCGACAGGCATGCCTTTTTTGGACCGTGTGAGGAAGCCGGAGTACCCAGAAGAGAACCCACGTGTGCGCAGAGAGAATATGGCGAACTCCATGCAGAAAGACCCCAGGCCATGGAATCGAACCCAGGATCGTGCTGCACGGCAACAGTGCTACCAACTGCACCACTGCGCAGGCCCCTTTTTCAGTCAGATTTAGATCAATAGAAAAACATCAATATACATCTTACATTATTTTTAATTAGACATCCTTCTCATTTCCTTTAAGAAAAGCTCATAGGAAGTTTTCTACTCAAACTTCTTGGTTGAACAGAAATCTGTTTGGGATGCACATCATTTTCAGATACATTGCTACCTGGTCCAAACTAATCAATTTATATCATTTATGTGTTCATTTTACATATTAATTCAATGTATATTCATTCTGTGGTGACAAAAAAACCCACTGCGGACACTTGAGGGTCAGAGGGGGCTCTTGTGATCGTTTTAGCCCTCGGTCCTTTTTATAGTTAATGCGGCCCTGCGTAAATGTAAAAATAACTGAGCGCTTGCTGCTTATTCGCATATCTCTGCGCGCTCTTTCCAAGTCATCCCAGTCAACAGCTTCGAAACGCGTGCTGCCGTGTCGAGCACGAAAACGATCGACTTGTTCGGTTGATCGGTTCGTGGCTGCAGGAGGTTGGCGAATCAAACCGCAGCCTCTTGGAAAGCGTGCGAGGGAACTATTCGCGGCAGAAATGTCAGAGGTATTTGACCATCCTCCAGCATCTGTCTGATAATTTTCCTTGTGTGGCGCTGGGGTTGAAATGTGAGCGTCACGGCGCTCACTCCTCCTCCTCCTCCTCCTCCTGGTCCTGTGTGTCTCTGCTGGAGTGAAGTCCCTCTGAGCGGCTCTCAAAACTTCAGAGTGGAGCCTGGAAGCGGAGGGAGAGGATCCTCTGGAGCGACGCGAACAGCCGACCTCCCGTCCTGCTTCTCCCGGTCGAACCGAGGATTAAACTCGCCGCGTTTCTGTTCCTCTGGTTTCCGCTCGGCTGGTCACCGAAGTTTCCCGACTGACACGTTGTGGTTCCGGACCTGTTTCTCAGCTTTCTCTGGGATTAATCTGGTTTATTTACGGACTTCATGGTCCGGCGTTAAGAGACTCTGTGTGCTGCAGTTTCTCCCCCTCCAGCCCCTTTTTTTTCTCTCTCTCTCTTTTTCGGAGGGATTTTTTTCCAGTTATATGTGGAAATAAGGGGGACCCGCTCCGTCTCTCTGACATTTTCATGCGTATTCCTAAAGGACACAGACTTATTTTTCCTAGTTGAAGATCATCAGCATGGATGGTTGTCCGCTGCAGGTGGTGCTCTCCTTGTGTCTGCTGCTGGTTTCCAGCTCCGGCTTTGAGATCGGCTCCTACGACCTGGACCGGGACCGACCGGCCAAGTGCGAGCCCATCGTGATCCCCATGTGCCAGGGCATCGGCTACAACCTCACCCGGATGCCCAACTTCATGCAGCACGACGACCAGGAGGAGGCTGCCATCAAGCTGCTGGAGTTCGCGCCCCTGGTGAAGTACGGCTGCGACGTGCACCTCCGCTTCTTCCTCTGCTCCCTCTACGCCCCCATGTGCACCGACAAGGTGTCGACCTCCATCCCCGCCTGCAGGCCCATGTGCGAGCAGGCCCGGGAGAAGTGTGCCCCCATCATGAAGCAGTTCAGCTACACCTGGCCCGACTCGCTCAACTGCTCCAGGCTGCCCACCAGGTACGACCCCAACGCCCTGTGCATGGAGGCCCCCGAGAACGAGACCAGGACGGAGGGCAAGAAGGGTGAGGGGATGCTCCCTGTGCCCCACAGGCCACGGCAGTCGGGTGCCAGCGGGGCCCGCCCTCCTGGCGCCGGGGGCTCCTGTGAAAACACAGATAAGTTCCAGTTCGTGGAGAAAAGTCAATCCTGCGCCCCGCGCTGCTCGCCGGCTGTGGACGTCTACTGGTCCAGGCAGGACAAGGACTTCGCCTTCATCTGGGTGACGGTGTGGTCCATCCTGTGTTTTGTGTCCACCGCCTTCACTGTTCTGACCTTCCTCCTGGAGCCCCACCGCTTCCAGTACCCCGAGAGGCCCATCATATTCCTCTCCATGTGTTACAACGTCTACTCCGTGGCCTTCATCATCCGTTCGGTGGCGGGCCCGGAGAACATCGCCTGCGACCGGGAGAACGGGGAGCTGTACATCATCCAGGAGGGGCTGGAGTCAACTGGGTGCACCATAGTCTTCCTCATCCTCTACTACTTTGGGATGGCGTCTTCGATCTGGTGGGTCATCCTCACCCTCACCTGGTTCCTGGCTGCGGGGAAGAAGTGGGGTCACGAGGCCATTGAAGCCCACAGCAACTACTTCCACATGGCCGCCTGGGGCATCCCCGCTCTCAAGACGATCATCATCCTCACCATGAGGAAGGTGGCCGGAGACGAGCTGACGGGTCTGTGCTACGTGGGCAGCATGGACTCGGGGGCGCTCACTGGCTTCGTCCTCATCCCGCTGTCGTGCTACCTGATCATCGGCACGTCCTTCATCCTCACGGGCTTCGTCGCCCTCTTCCACATCCGCAAGGTCATGAAGACGGAGGGCACCAACACGGAGAAGCTGGAGAAGCTCATGGTGAAGATCGGCATCTACTCCATCCTTTACACGGTGCCGGCCACGTGCGTCATCGTCTGCTACTTCTACGAGCGGCTCAACATGGACTACTGGAAGCTGAGGGGCCTGCAGACAAAGTGCGGCTCCTTCGGCGGCCCCGCCGCCGACTGCTCGCTGCAGACGTCCGTGCCCACGGTGGCCGTGTTCATGCTGAAGATCTTCATGTCGCTGGTGGTGGGGATCACCAGTGGGGTGTGGGTGTGGAGCTCCAAGACCCTGCAGACCTGGCAGGGCCTGTGCAGCAGGAAGCTGGCGGACAGGACTAGTGGCAGGAAGCCCTGCGGCGGCGTGAACTGCGGCAGCACGCACTGCCACTACAAATCCCCTGCTGTGGTTCTGCACATGGCCAAGACTGACCCACATTCAGACAGCCCCACACACGTCTGACAGGAAAGCACTCACACACACACACACACACAAACACACACAAACACGTCGTGCGCCCTGCTTGAGGAGCTACTTGAGGACTTGAACTGAACTGGTGGGTACTTCTCCGCTGCTGCTGCTGAAGGGCACACAGGTATCTATGAACAGTATTCAATCAGTGCATAAAGGGAAATGTTCGGTATCGGTCCCCCTCATATTTTCTTGTTCTCGCTGTTCTCCAGTTTTGCAAAGCGAAAAAATATAAATGTGTATTCTTATACTGTTCCAGTGGGAGGATGTTGGGAAAGATTTGTGTATTTTCCTCTCTGAGTGTCATGGTTATCTGTATAAATCTGTAAAGAAAAAAATGGTTTATTTATTGTAAATATATTTAATTTAAAAGCCCAACTTGGCTCTCACAGGAGTTGTTTAGTTACATGCTTCAAAAGGTAAGGGAAATTAAGTGCCTTTTATAAGAAATCGTGGCTTTTTTTTTTTTGCAGGGGGAGAGGTTAATAAATCTGTGGAGTTCATGTGAAACTGTCTTGTTCCAGTGGTTATTTGAGCGTCTTAAGGATGTCAATGCAAACACATCGTCATCTCTCTCTCTCTCTCTCTCTCTCTCTCTTTCTTTCTCTCTCTCTCTCTCTTTTGTGCTATCCGTCTCAGATAATTCAGACAGTTATCTATTCATTTTGTAAACCGTGGGGCTCTGGGTGTCTTGTCTTCCCAGAGGCATCCTCGCCGAGGATCCTCAAAGAGAATCGCTGATGAATGGAGCGACGAACCGTGGCAGGCGCTAACGTTTGCGTCATCGGCTTTAAACGCGCGCAAAAAAAAAAGAATGCGGCAGCACTTCGAGGAGGAATATATTAAATTAATGGCTGTTTTAATCCTTTTCCTCAGAGTCAGTGTTGTTGCTTTCTCTCTCTCTCTCTTTGCTCCATTTGATCGTCGTTCAAAACACTCCGCACTTTGATCTGAGAGCGCAAATCTAAAGTGGATTTCAGACTTATTGCGTGGTTTGGAGTTGAGCGCCCGGAGCCGCTCATTGAGCTGATGGGACATTAGCTGAACACTCAGGCTTGATGGCTGGAGGCTCCAGGAATATCTGACGCGGATCTGCGGAATTCCCGCTTTCGCAAAAAAAAAAAAAAAAAAAAACGTTTCGTTCTGCGGGAACAGCTCGCCTCTGCGCCTTGCAGAAATCGCCGCGAGGCGCAAAGAACCACTTATTCGATGAGGAAGAATGTCGAGCATTATTCCTCATCGAATAGGAGCTGCGAGCCGCCACTAGTTTTTAACTGTCGTAAAACTCAAGTTTTTATAAACCATGAGAGCCACCGTGTCCTCAGACGGTCCATAAACGAGGGGAAATAAATAGCTTTTACATTAGGAGGCCGCGTGGCTGCAGTGCCAACACAAATTGCAACCTCGCACACCAGGTTGTTTTATTGCACAACACCGTGGAAATAAGTGTTTTTGACAGCAATGGGGTCGATTGTTTATTGCTCCGGCCCACACGATTGCTTTGTCACCCCCCACTTCCCCCCCCTCCCCCCCAAAAAAAGCAGCAACGTCGTGGCAGTCGTCTTGGAAAAAAAGCTGCACTGGGACCAGGAGCTGCTTTTTGTGCCATTAACAGTTTGTCAGCGGGGGGTGACGCAGGCGTGCGCGCGCCGACGTCATGCGCAGTTTGAAAGGTTGTTTGCTTTTCCTTTTTTCCGCCATTACCTTCATTTCAGAGAACAAGATCTCCCTAAACCTGTTGAGTGGACACTCAGAGCTTGAAGTGTTCATGAAACATTTTGGATTCACGCAACAGAATCTAGTTGTTGTTTTCTAGTAACTGCTAGCAACTGGAAAACAATTAATATGAAACCCTGATTGCTTTTTGTGAGTTAAAAGTTTGATGCAAAAAAAAGCACAAAAAAAACATGTTAGTCATTTGTTTAATCTTTAGCAGTGAGTTGAAATGTAATGGTTCGCCTCTGACTGTGTGAAAGTTTGATTTCAAAGGTTGCTGAAGGCTTAAGCCGTCAAATAAAGCGAGCAAAGGATAAAGTGCAAAATTCTGCGCCAAAAAATAGGTGAACGGCCGTGCGGCCATGCAGGACGGAAACAAACAGAACACCACTCTTCTCCACATTTTGAAAGAAAATCCGGCTGAAGGCCTCGGAGCGTTGTTAGTGAATATTAGTGGACAGACAGGATCACGAAGTCCAGCGGGCAGGTCAGGGTTACGGCTGCAGAGAGGCTGAAGGCCGAGCTGGGCCATAAAACAATAGCAAAGAGTTCAATTCATCATTGTTCATTAGCAAGGTCTACTACAGCTCTGGCCTTTTGGGCAGAGTGGCAAGAAGAAATCCATTACTGCAGGATAGACTGTTAGCTGTATTTGGAAGTCGACCAATAAAAAGTAAACCGAATGTGAAACACTATTTTTGGAGGGAGGGCAGGTTAGTAGAAAGCTGGTCAGAGCTGGTGAGATAATCGAAGAGCAAACTTAGAAGAAAAGAAACTTTTAGAGGATCTAAAACTTATCCTCTCCATTCGACCTGACTGGGCTTTAGCCGTTTTGCAAACATTACAGCTGCGCAGCAGCTTAAGAAAGGTTTTCGCTGCGTTCACTCAAATGCTCTGAATGCAGGTTCACGTCGCATGTTTCAGAAACATTTTGTAACACCAGATACTTCTGCAAAGCAACTGTGCTTACTTTTCACCAGTGGATGCTTTATGATTCAGTAGTAAATCAATCACATTTCTAGTCAGCTGAGTTAACCTAAATTACTTATTCCAGATCCTTGGACAGAACAAGATATGGGCAACTACCAACAGCCCCCTTCCCTTTTTTTCTTTTTCTGTTTTCATTACTCAGGCTTTGTAGATGTCGTCCACAGCTTGGCAGGAGTACGCTCCAAGTCCTGGACTCTGACACTGAATCACATTTAACTATTAAAAAGGGGCTGTTTTGATTGGAGTGTGCTCGCTCGCAGCCATGAGCCTCAGCTGGCCGGGTTCTCAGCGACATTTTCCAGTTCATGGACGCCTCCTGAATGGGAAGTGGTGGAGGGGGGTGCCCGTGCTTCCTCCACTAGTTTACACTTCAGTGGCATGACCCAGGGAGGCAGAGCACTTGCTGTGTGAGACAAACCGGCTCCCCCACCTGTGCCGAGCTGATTAGATAGCGAGGAGGCAGCAGACGGGAAGTTTGCATGTTTTAGTCTGAACTTTTTCCCCTCCCTCAGCAGTTCTTGTTTGATTTTTCTGTGTTTCTTCCAGGTATTGCCGAATATGAATTAGAAATTACTTGTTATTGCAGCAAAGGGATCTATTTTTTTCCCCCCCTTTTTCCTTTTCTCCTCCTCACATCTGAATTCTATCGCTGCATTTCCAGGTCACCGGCTGCTATTTTTAGCTCCTTTCATTCACAGAGGAAAGGAATCACAGAGCTCAGAGCTTCAGATAGAAGAAGAGAGAAAAGAAAAAGTTCAGACCAAAATCAGAGTTTGTTTGAACTGTGGGGTTTTTTTTTGGCGTTAGAAATGCGCCTGCCGGGAACACCTTCCCCTTCCCAACACACGCACGCACACAAACACACCTGGGGTCAGTAGTACACAGACATACACAACCAATGAGCACTGAACTTGTTTTACAGAAGACCCCACCCCACCTCCAGTAAAGTCCAATTTCAGGAGTAAGTAAGCTCAGTCTCGCTCGAGAGGTTTAGCTTGGCCGAGTTTCCGAGCTGTTTTTCTCCTCTGGCTCAGGAGGTTAAATAGTGTCAGAGTCACTGAGCAGCAACTTTGTCTGGGCCAAAAGGCATTCTGCTCCCAGAAAAGGCAACACTTTCCCTTCAGGGTTTCTACAGAAAATTCTAATCGTGTCGGAGTATTTATTGAATCCCAAGCTGTGTGGAACAGCCGCGTTTACGCAGGATTTGCAAAGTTTATTTCTGATAGGAAAAGGAGGGAGGGGGGGCGTGAAAACACCTCAGCGCTTATCCTGCTGCTGACACCACGTTTTTGTCTGCTGAGGAGAAGTCCCTCCATCTGGTCACGGGTCTGATTAAAGGCGATCATTATGGCATCAATGCGCCTCCCTCGTATACTTAAACCCCTGCCCAACCCTGAGGGTGAAAAAAAAGGGGAAAATAAAGCATCCTTCATTACCCTGACCTCCCTCTTTCTATAGTCCCTTACCCCCACCCTTGAGCACTATCCCTTTCCTGGGCTGTTTTGATGTGTAAATGAGCACATTGAAAACCTGCAGGCCCCCAAAGAGATGCTTTCCATGAAAATGCGCCAGTCGGAGAGCAGCAGAGTTCACACAGATCGCCACTCCTCACAAGCAGACTCTAATCAGGCGGCCAGCACGCCACTGTCGTCTCTCCTGTCAGGGCAAGACGTACACGCACGCATTCGCACGCATTCGCACGCATTCGCACGCACACACTGTGTGTATTCTGACTCATACCATTATGCAGACATTGTCATTCACACAATGACCTGAGAGGGGAATCCGTTCCCAGGACGAAGCCGCACTGATAATTTGGGCTTGCAGCAACTTTGTTACAATGCAGAGATAAATTGTGGAGGAAAAAAAGATAAGATGTGAGAACTGAAATAACTCTGCAGCAATCATCCAGCCGATGAAATCAAAGCAGGTTAGATAAAAACGTCTGCTTTGGCGCTCGCAGGAATGTTCGGTGTCTTGAAGTTCCTGGAACACAGCAAATGAAATTATCAAAGGTGTTTTTATGGTAGTGCTCAAATGTTGCTCTCTAGAACAAACTCCAGATATTACCAGGACGGTGTCTGAAAATTGTTGCCCTAGGGAAGACTGAGTTAAGAGAAGTGTTGCACATTTTGCCCCCAAACTTCACGTTATGAGCAACAAAACACAACAAATTACAATATTGTTTGATTCACTTTAAACTAAAACTCATTTTTTAATATATGCAACCTGGGCTTCCCTAAACACCAGAGCAGAGATGTACAGAGTGCATGTACTGTACAGTACATAGGCCTACTTTTCACTTGGCCAATGTAACATTTATTGTATCTTATGTAATATTATTATTTTCTATGAAACTAAATTTTGAATTTTTATTGCCTGCAAAACAAGTATCAAGTTAACTGAAATATTACTCCCTATGCAATGAATCCATATGAGGTTCACTTTTCTACAACAATTTACTGAAATATATTAAATTTAACCCATTTAGCCATAACATATACTGATGTTAAAGACAATGTTCCTTCTTGGTTGGTTTTTGTTTTGTTTTGTTTGTTTTTTTACCACAGAAAATGAAAATAGACAAGATGAGTTGGAATGAAGATAAATGTTAAAAAAGCAACACTGTTTTATCATTCTGTGATCGCATACCCCTACCATATGATGAAAGTGATGTAATGTCAGGAACTGATTAATCACATCTGCCAGCTGATTTGCTAGAGGGAGGTTATAAACTGAAGTTCAAAAATATACAAGATTACTGTGTTGGAGATTTACATGGAGCCATTTTGAAACACAACCTTGTT